ATAGCCTAGGCTGTCCTTTAATGCCTAATCTTATATTTACCTACCAAGTGCTGGAATTACAGGCACACTATCATGCCTGGTTATTTATCAAGTCTTCAACAAGAATGGATTTCCTATGATCCTTTGCTCTCTGGAACAGTGTGCGCACAAAACAACAACAGAATTAAGGGTCATGGAAAGCCAAATTCTAGCTTAACTAGGAGTCGCCTGCTTAGCAAAATGAAGTCATTGAAACATGTGATTTTTCTCCTCAGCCCCACATGGTCCAGCACTGAAATGTCAGGCAGAAGCAAATGTTTGCAAGTGAGAATGCAACGCTGCTATGCTCCCTCGGATCCATGTGCTGCCTCGGATTCATGTGCTTCCTGTGATCCATGATTCATATGTAGATTCCTTAGGTGGGAAGAGCTGATTCATTCTCATGGGCCTAGAACCCTGTCATCCCACATGAACCGCTCACAGTCAGATTAAATACTTCACCCCCTCAGAAGCCCTCTCTGAAGCATTCAGAGTCCCCTCCGTGCCAGGGCCCCAACATGGGACCTCCCCCGGAGGATATGTCCTTTCTAGCACTGGTTGGTATTTGTCCACAATGACACCTACAAGCTCTGAGGTCAGGACCTGAAGTCCCTGCCTCTCCAGGGGTGCTATTTCCCCCAGGCAGTTTTAGTCATAAATCTTACAAACCTCCACAGAGTCAGTCCGCCCTTCCCATACATTCTTTACTCAACAATTCAACTGGCCATAGGCCAAAACTAGTCAGAAAAAACCCACATCTGTATCGACTGGTGCAGAGGCATCATTGTTCCCTACACACTGTGATGTAGCAGCCATGAGATTAGCATTCATACTCACTGGTGTTACAGAGCATTCTGAGAGCACTGGAGGCTGTGTGAAGGTTGCACTAAGACTTTGTGTAAGTGTCACTTACACTTTGTGTAAGAGACATGATCATCTCTGCAGGTTTGGTAATCTCCTGTGTTCTGGCACCAATTCCCTATGGATTCTGAGAAGTGACTGTACCACATTCTGGTTTGGAAAATAAATGGACCATCTCATACCTCAGGAACTTTTTGATGACTGTTGTTTGAACAAATATTCTTTGTTTTGTTTTTATAAGACAAGGTTTCCCTGTGAAACCCCTGGTTGTCCTGGACCTCACTTTGTAGACCAGGCTGGTCTTGAACTCATAGAGATCCACCTACCTCTGCCTCCTGAGGGCTGGGATTAAAGGTGTGTACCACCACATGTGGCATTGAACAAATACTCTTAAGCCACAAACATCGATACCAGCCCCCAGAAAAAGCAACCATGTTCCTCCAAATCCAGAAAACTTCCGTCTTCATGGGAAGCACAGGGGGATTCTGGGGAGAGAAGGAGGCAAACCCTCCACCTGCTCTGCTTCTGACCCATCTGAACTAGCGTTCAGACCCTGAGGAATCTGGCCACTGGCCGGGAGGGTACAAAGACATGAGAACTGTCTTCTAGACTAAGAACACAGACCAGATCTCTTACAGGACAAGAGGGCAACAGTGTACGACACAGCTGGTGCAGGAATGGGAGGGTAGGGACTGGAGGCCAGGGCAGCTGAACAGAAGTCCAGTTCTCTGGAGGACAGCTTACCGAAGTGCCTTTGGGTAGTTTTTATTATGTTTTTAAGATTTGATTTATTAGTTTTATGTGTATGTGTGCTAAGAGGCCAAATGACAACTGTCTGTTGTTTTTTATTTCTTTGTTTGTTTGTTTGTTGGTTTGTTTGTTTGTTTTTTTAGACAAAGCCCTGGCTGTCCTGGAACTCACGATGTACACCAGGCTGGCTTTGAACCCACCTGCCTCTGTCTCCCAAATGCTGAGATTAAAGGTATACATAATTGTATTAAACTCAGGTGCCCAGGTTCTCACCACCTTGTGTAGCAAACACACCGCATCTTGACAGCCCTACCAGTTTTCATTACGACCATGGTAAGAAACAATTTTTCACCACGACCCCAAATACCACCTGAGTGTACACACAGTAAAACTGAAATTAAAACACATAAAATAACAACTTACCATGCTTCAATGCTTCAGGTGACATACCCTGATATTTTCTACTCTATTACAAAACTGATGGCCTCAACCCGCTAATTTACCATTACAGCTCCCCAGTGGATCACAGCCTGCAACTGAAATTATCAGCCTGACTCAGTCTTAGGGACTTTCAGAGTCACTCTGAGATGTGACTTTCAAAGCCCTGTTCTGTGCTGCTGCTGTGCATTCCAGCCAGTGAGCTGCAGATACTGTGTGCAGCACTCTTGGGGTGGCAGGCATGGCTACAGAGGGCAAAGCACACAGAAGTCAGACCACATACAGACCAGAGGCTGTCTGCAGCCACATGCCTCATGGCCACGGCACCTGACACAGGTGCCACCCCATGCCGAGCCTCAGAAAGCAAACAGAAGCCTCCCGAGTCTCTTCCTCTCACCGGAACAGTCCCATGTGTGGAGCAGAATCAGATGGCAGCACTAACTGGAAGAACAGGATGGCTGAGGTGACCATGGATGCTACTGGCGTCAGTCTTTCAGGGTCCAGGGAGAAGGCCTGGCTGGGGGATGTCCTTCGGAATGGCGGTGGGGCATCCCTCCAAACATATACAGCTGGTTTAGAACTCACTCTGTTTGCTGAGTAAAAGCTTTACAGTAACCCAGGAATCTCAAAAGATATTTCTGGGGCAGATGAGAAGGGCTCCTGGGAGGGGGGTAGAACTGGAGGGACTCAGCAGGGACTCAGGCCGCCTCAGTCCATTCCCTCTCTTTGGATGAGTACAGTCAAGTCTCTTGCCATCTGATGGCATCTCTGTATCCCCCAGCATGGGCCTCTGACAAGGGCTTAAGCTGACTGAGAAACAGCCTAAACCTTGAGGTCTCTTTAACCTGGCCACGCATGCAACAGGAACTTGGCCACAAAGGCTGGGTGGACCTTTCAGAGCCTCAACTTCTCCATTTGTCAAACGAGTGTATGCATCATGGACTTGCTAAGCTGTAAGCACACATGACGTTATGACCATTACTCCACAGAGAGGCAGGTATGTGAGTATGTGACAGTAGCCAAAGTGGCCTGTGCTTGCAGTGGGACTGCTCTGCTGAGAGAGAGGAAGCAGAAAGAATCTGGACCCTGGCACTGCCTGGCTTAGTGGCGCTGCAGCTTATGGGCTACAGCCAGCAGTTATTTGGTCTGCTCCCTAGAGGAGAGACCCTTTCTCTCTCATCTCTGACCACCTTCTTCTGGGGTAGCCAGTGATGACCAGAGAACCAGGTGACTGCTGAGCACTCAGAGGCACTTGTCCTGACCTACCTGCTCAGCTCTGGGCTTGGCACTGACCACAGGAGCCCTTGCCTGATGGCTAGGCCACTTGGATCAGTTGCAGGAGAAGCAGAGGCATCAGCGTGAGTGAGCAAGTAAACGGCAGAGGAGGAGGCACAGCTGGGAATGAGAGAGAGCTCAGTGCAGCTTGGGGGACTGGGGTGGTGCAGAAGGGAGAACCCCACAGTGAAAGGGCACCCTAGGGATGCTCTTTTGCTTAGAGACTGTACAGAGGACTGAGTGACTATTAAGCCAACTCAGACCAGTCTGCTCAGGGACCCCATTGCCAAAGGCTTCGGTAGGCCAGTGTTGGGATCCTCACCACAGACACGGCTGAAGTTCATAATCATGTATTTTTCTTCTACAGTCTCTCCATGCAATCTGATGCTCTCTTGTAATACTCTGAAGCTCACTTTACTCACTGCTCAGAGAACAAATTCAGGGGCCAGTGAGATGGTTCAGGTAGTAAAGGCACCTGCTGCCAACCCTGGTGACCTGAGTTCAATCTCTAATATGTATGTGATAGGAGGTGAGAACTAGAGAACTGATTCCCACAAGCTGTGCTCTGACCTCCACATACATGCTATAGCCAGCATATGTGTTCGCACAACCCACACACAATAAATCAATTAATAAATAACAAATAAATAAATAACAACAATAAAACAATAGACCTAAAACTGAAAAGGTCAGCTGGTCTCACCTCTTCCCAACCCCGCCCAGGTCTGAAGTCTTGCCCGCAGTGTCCTGGACATTCAGGCACTCACTATCACATGAGGCAAGTATTGAGCACAGGGCATTTCCCCTGCTGCAGCCCAAACCCCTCGAAAGGCCACTGCCTTTAATCAAGTGGCAGAAAGGACCATAAAAACACTTAGGAAAAAATAAGGGCAGAATTGAAGTGGCCTGGAGGTACATGGCTGACTCGAGAAAAGCCGAAATGACAGAGGCACAGTGAGAGGGCGAGGCACGAGGCAATAAAGCTAAGAGACAAAGCGATGAGGACGCAGAGCGCAGTGAGCACCTGCTTTCTCTGGGGACATCAGGCTGCGAGCTGGAGAGGATCCTTGGTTCTGGGAGGCCCTGGTGTGACAGAGACGCACTGGGTTGAGAAGGAGGAAGGTAGACTCCAGATCTTGGCAGAACCCCACCCTGGGGGCTGCTGTTTATGGAGGTACTGCCTGATGCTTCATCATGGTGGGGGCCCTGAGCAACTGTTCTGAGCATGCCTGTCTTGTACTCCTGCCTCCTCCCCCCCCCCCCCCCCCCAACCCCCCCCCCCCCCCCCCCCCCCCGGTCAGCACTGGAAGTTACTTAGTGGAAAGACAGAAGACTCAAGCCCAGACTCAAGGCTTATGGCTGAAGGGGATTGGAGACAGCCTAGGGCAGCGTATGAAGATCTAGAGAGATGGGGCTTGAGGCCCACACTGCTCTGAGAAGTTCTGGATTGTGCTGCAGGGAAAGCCCAGGCTGCTGATGGGAGTGAGCTAGCTGATAGAGATCTGAGCTAGCATCTGACAGGGGCAGGGTTGTGCAGTGGTTATCTTCTCAGGCGCTGGTGTCTCGGCCCAGCAAACTCTAGCCTCTCCTGTGCCCACAGAAAATACATCCCAGGGCTCTACCCCCTGCAGAGCCTCGCCAGCAGTGGTCACACTCACCCACTATCTCATTCTCCTCCAGGTTGATAGTCTCCAGTGCTGGCAAGGTGGTCAGCTGCTCGGGGAAGTCTTGAAACTGGTTCCGGGACAGGTTGATGGTCTTGAGGTGCTGCAGGCTGCTGACCTCATTGGGGAGCCGACAGAGGTAGTTGCCTTCCAGGTGTAGCTCTACCACAGGAGGGGAGAAGGGAAAGTTGGGAGGGGAAGGGCCCTGTACAGAGGCCACCAGGATTGTTGCTGGTGCCCAGGCCAGGACAGTGAGAAAGACCCCCGCCTCACAGGAAGGCCCCAAGAGGATGGCGCCAGGCCTATTCCCCCAACCCCCTCTGCCCAGGGCCTTCTGTCATTATTTCAGCAGAGGTACCTCACTTTGCCTGTGTAGGAGGTTCTCCTGACAGAAGCTGAGCTCCAAAGATCCAGGTGTGACGGCTCTCCCAGACAGGCCTTGTGGAATGTGTTAGGATATGCCCCCAAAATTTCAAGACTTTTCTTCAAGGCCCTCCTTGTTCCAAGACTGTAGGGGGATCCCAGGTCTATCACGTGTCCTTACTCTGCACCCAGCTACTACCAACCAGACATGAGTAGGTTCCTCCCTGGAGCGCTCACTGTAAAGCTGATCAGTGTGACCTGTGCAAGGGACCCTCATGAGGAGGCCTAGACAGCACTGAGAGATGGATCAGGGCAGAGCTGAAAAGTTTCAAGTAAAAGGCGCCCGGGCCAGGCATGGTGGTGCACTAATCCTAACACTCAGGAGGCAGAAGCAGTAGTTTGGAGCCAGCCTGGTCTACAGAGTGAGCTCCAGGACAGCTAGGGCTACATAGAGACACAACAGTAACAATGTAATAAAAGAGGAAAGAGAAAGAAAGAGAGAGAGAGAGAACAAGAAAGAGAGAGAGAGAAAGAGAGAGAGAGAGAGCGAGAGAGAAAAGAAAGAAGGAAGGAAGAAAGGAAGGAAAAGAAGGGAAGAAAAACCTCGCACAGTGGCACACGCCTATAAACCCAGCATTCAGGGAGGCAGAGGCAGATGGATCTCTTGAGTTCAAGGCCAGTCCGGTCTACAAAGTGAGTCCAGGACAGCCAAGACTACACAGAGAAACCCTGTGTTGAAAAAAAAAAACAAGGAAGGAAGGAAGGGAGGGAGGAAGGGAGGAAGGAAGGAAGGAAGGAGGAAAGAAAGAAAGAAAGAAAGAAAGAAAGAAAGAAAGAAAGAAAGAAAGAAAGAAAGAAAGAAAGAAAGAAAGAAAGGGGGGAGGGAGGGAGGGAGGGAGAACAAAAAGAAAAAGGCTCCTTCTGTCTACCGTGTTCGAGGATTGTCCTGCTGCTGCATCAAGATCCTGAAATGGTGACAGTAACAAGAAAGTAAGGAAATAATGGCCACAGACAAAAGGAAGCAGCTTCATTCAAGGGAGGCAGGGATATCAGTGAACTGGAGGAGACCTGAGGCAGCTTTGAAAAATACTGAGATTGTTCTACAACTGACAGGCTTCTACTTTGTGATGACCTATTTACCTATGTCCATCTCATAATGCCTCTGTCTTTTATTCTATTCAACAACAACAACAACAAAACAAGAAAAGTATAAGGCTGATGTAACTATGTAGCTATAGTATAACTGTAGGAAATACAGCTAAATACAGTATGGTGTAGAACAGCAAGGAAGGAAGGAGAGCCTCCCATAGGGGCCCTTGTGTAAGAAGAGGTGAAAGGACAACCAGAAGAACATGACGGCAAGCATGATCCAGGGCTACAACAGGGGAATCAGGAACGGATGCTCACGTGCAAAACCCAGACCAGGCCACCTCCAGCTGACTTAGCCATTTTGTCCACTTAGATCCAGTGTACTCACTTAAGAAAGGAGCTGGTAGGTGCCTGCCTCGTGGGGATGTGGACAGGGATGTCAGGGCACACAGGAAAAGCACCAGAAGAGGGAGAGAACAGGGTCTCTGTTTCTGCAGTGGGGACAGGCCACTTGGGGAGCAACATCATTCACATGTGACCTTACATGTACCCCCACTCTGCCTGACCCAAAGGAAATGGAGACCCTGAAATCATGTTCCTCAGCGCTTTTACCCAGAGCCAAGTTTGTGGACATGTGACCAACGCAGTTGTATAGGGTCCCATTCCTTTGGAGTGTTATACCAATATGCCATGATTTCTGTCTGTTTTGAGACTCAGTCTCATCATGTGACCTCAAACTCGAGACCTTTCTACCTCAGCCTCCCAGGTCCTGGGATTACAGGTGTGTCCCACCACGGCTGGCTCCCATGTGCCATCTTGAAAGCCATCATCATGGTACTCAACTTCATTTTATAAGCAACACGGAGTTGTGATGTCTCAGTTCACATGTTGGCGTGCCTGGGTCTCTGGGCTATCTGCAGCCTCCCCTCCATCTTCAGGCCCTAGGATCTTCCCGGCCTGAGCCAGGCTTTGCTCTGGGCTCACGTAGCCCTCCACCTCCAGCAGCGAGCAGCAGAGTCAGGTTTGTGTTCCCTGTGCTGTCCCAGGCTGGGACTTGCTGGGCTGTCCTCTCATCGCACCCTGCCCAGGGGACTTGGGCTGCAGTATCACAGTGTACCTGGAATGGGTGGCCAGCTGGAGACTGAATCTTGACAGAAGTGACCCTGGGCCATCCCTGCCCCAGGTACCAGACAGATCTTGACACCCAGAGTTAAGGATGGAGGGCTGGAGTCTGCTCAAAGTTGGGGGAAGGGCACCTCACAGTTAAGGGAGACACCTGGCCAGTGTGAAGCATGGTAGTTTCCCATCTGCTAAAGGCAGAACAGCTGCCAGCAGGCCTGAAAGTGCACATACGGGCACCTGGCACTGTGGGTGGTCCTGGGCAGGAAACAGCCCATTTCTCCTTTTCCTTATAACCTGCCTGAGCTCCACAGGAATCGGTCTCTTTGGCCTACTCACAGCACCTCTGGAAGCCAGTAATGAAACACCAGCTGTTTAATTCCTAGGTTTTGCATGTGAGCTAACTGCTCCTGTAAGTGCACTTGAATGAATGCTCACCCTGTCTTTATTTTCCTGTACTTTGACGATAGATAGCAAATGAAAAGCAGCGTGCCAAGCTACATGAGAGGCGGCTAAAGAGAGCTACCTATTTATTTTACAGCACTTCCCCGGGAACAGAGTCCTGCACTCCATTTCTGTAGCTGGCCCAGGCCTTCTGGGCTAGATGTCTCCCAGGGCTCCTGTTGAGGCTCGGAGAGTCCTACAGTCCACCTTAGGGTTTGCCACAGTGAGGATTCAGAACCCTGTTTCCATTTGCAGGGCCTCTGTACACCCCCACACACACCACTTGTACACACAAGCACATGCCTCACTATAAGTCCTCTGCTCTGCTCAGGCAGGACCTACATGCAATTCTTTGTTTCTATGTCCCTTCAGGGCTTATGTGGTCACTCAGTAAGTATCCAAGGGGTGATAGGAGGGGATGTCATGGGGTGCCTTCCAGTGTCTTATCTTTGGTGACATCCTGTACCCAAGGTCCCATTAGCAGATCCAAGGCCTGCTCCTTGCAACCAAGGATCCTTTCAGTGGCTGGGCTCACGAATAAACCATGCCTGAATCATAAAAGATGCCCTATCTAATGCTTGTCTGTCATCCCAGTACCCAAGAGGCTCATGGGAAGACTGCTGGGTTCGGGACTCCGGATCCCCATGTCTCATGAGCACTCCCACCGCTGCCATCTAGGTAACTTTACAGTGTTGGGGACAATTCCAGACATCTGGCCCAGTGTGCCCCCAAGGAACAGCACTTCCTCATGCAGAGCACGCTGCTGCCTCGGGGCCCTCCCAGCTACAGTTTCATAACTGGTTGATTCTTTCATTCCTTCCCTTTTTGCTCCCCCCTTCTTTCTTTTGAGGTGACAGGCACCCAAGGCTAGTCTCGAATTCATCAGGTAGCAGAGGATGGCCTTGACCTCCCAATTCTGCTTTGACCTCCCAAGTGCTAGACTTACTGGTGTGCATGAGCACATCTCGTGTATATTTGGTGTGAAGGATCAGACTCTGAGCTTTGTGAGTGTTAGGCAAACACCTTACAACCGGGCTACCCACCACCCCACTGCACCTGTGGAGGCTTTGCAGTTCTGCCTGCCTGGAACTTGTATGTAAGCCTGGCTGGTCTCAAGCTACGTGGCATCCTCCAGCCTCTATTTCCAAGGGGCTGGAGTTATGGGGGTTGGGGTTGAAGGATGGCGGGGGGGGGTTCCTTCGGTGCTTTCTGTCCACAGCATTCTCTGCTCTGTTTGTGCAAGGCCTGCTGCCTCACTGGATCTGTGTCCTCACTCAAGCACCTCCCCTTGGTCACTGCTGTTTCAGAACCTGGCCTCTGCGGAACCACCATTTCCTACACGCACTTGCTTGTCAGCATTCTGTCTGCCTCCTGCCGTGAGAATGTCAGCTGCTCCAAGAAAAGTGTCCCAAATGGTCCAGGCCACAGTGAACACTCGCTAATACTGGACAGGTAAAGAAATGAACATCTGAATGGATTTCAGCGTCACCCTCGCAATCCTGCAGAATTCCTGCTTGGAAATATCATCATTCTTCCTTAAATTGATTGTGTTCTTTTCATCAAAAAGAAAAAAATAATAATGCCTATTATTGCTTTGTGTAAAAAGTACTGCCGTTTAAGTCTCACTGAACAGTGCTGCTACATCAAGCCTCCAGGCCCTGGACGACAGCAGAGGAGGGTGCACAGCACATACAGGGCTGGGGGACGGCTGCCCTGGCCTCTCCGGAGCTGGACATTCATTCCCGGGAGGGTGGGCCCACCTTCTCAGGCTGAGTGTGCTTCTCCAAGCTCCCACTTTCCAGAAACATGCTGCCCAGCCGCCTCTTTTCTTGCCAGCGGAGCCTGACAGGCCACTTAGGAGCTGGCTCCATGCAGCAGCACAGCAGGGGAAGGTGACACTGGGCCACTTAAAACGCTTTTATTATTAGTGCGTGTGCTGTACACGTGTGTGAGAGTGGGGGCACACATGTGCAATGGTGCTCCCACAGAGGCCAGAGAACCACTTTTCAGGAGCTGGTTCTCTCCTTCTAGTGATCTCTAATGATCTAGTGACTCAGACTGTCAAACTTGCCTAGCTGAATCATTCTGCTGCCCCAATTTTAAAAATTTAATTTCAAGATTTACTGTTAGTTACTGTGTAGTAGAAA